TGCTCCTTGCTTCATCCGTGAGCCTATAACGCACCAAGTCGCCTACTTCGTACGGGGTTTTGCAGGGTCCTTCTTTCTCTGCTGATTCCACTCTCTCCTCTTGATATTCGACCAGGTTTGTTCGTGCTTGCTCAGTCAAAAGTCTGCATTCTTCGTCCCTCTCCTCCAATACAGTTGTTCCGGGCTTCTTCAACTTATCCCTCTCCTGAGCAATCATGTCGTCTGGTCGGTTAAAATCCCTGCCAAACAAAAGCCTAGCTGGAGTAAAACCTGTTGTAGCGTTGATCGAGTTGTTGTGGCTCCCTTGTACCAGGTATAAGGCCTCCGGCCACTTCTCCCCATCGTTCTCGCAAAGGCATCTGATCTGGTTCATTAACTGGTTCTGCCTCTCTACTTGCCCCTGGCTCTGGGGGTGTCCCGGTGAACCCAACTTGTGTCTGATACCCACTCTTTTACACAGTTCCTCGAACACCTCTGCAATAAAATGTGGACCTCTATCCGATCTCATCTTTTCCGGGATCCCGAAAAGACTTATCCATCTTTCGACCACTGCATCTGCTGCCGTTTTTGCTCTTGCATCAATGCTCGGTACAAAGATTATGAATCGACTAAACACATCTTGCATTTGGAGGACGTACCTGTATGGATGCTCCCTCGCTGTCTGGAATGGACCAAGAAAATCAAGCATCATCTCCTCCAGAGGTTTTCCGGGTATACTCGTCTTGGACACTGGCGCCTTGTTCGGGTTGTTGACGTGTTTGTTCAGACCACACTCTTCACATGCCTGAACGTATTGTTCTATGTCTTGCCTCATGTTCGGCCACCAAAAGTTATCTCGTGCCCTCTTCCAGGTGCGTGTGTTCCCCATATGAGCCGCTGTAGCACTCCTATGAACAAGATTCATAATTTTGTCCCTGTACGTCTTAGGAACTATTATCCTGTTCTTTTCCGCTGTTCCGAAAGGGTTGCTTTCCCGCTTCTTTCCCCCGTTGAACCGTAATCTTAATATCCCCTCTGAGTCGATGAAAATCCTGTCCCTATGCTTCCACATCGCTTTGACTTCCTCATCGTTGCTCCCGCTGGGCTTCCTCCACGATTCTGATTCGCTATTCCCGGGGTTCAGATCTGTTCCTTTCAAAACCGCCTAACGCATCGTTTGTACTGCTGCGTCATTGCTCTGCTCGCTCAGGATCTGTTCTCGACTGACAGTTATCGCCTCCTCGCCTCCAGCGGTCATCACGACAAACACTTCGCTACGGTCTTTCACAGCTACATTTCCGTCACATTTGACCCGTGAAAGGTAATCAGCTATTCTCATCTCTGGGCTTTTCCCTTTCTTATGAGTGACTTTCATGTCAAACTGCTGAATCAGGTCTAACCAACGTCCCCTTCTCCCCGTCTCATTCTCCGGTTCAAGTGAACGGAGCCAACTCAGTGCTTGGTGGTCCGTAATCAGGTTGAACTGCTTGCCTAGATACACTCTGAACTTCACTACCGCCTTAACCATCGCCAACAACTCCTTCTCGGTAGCTGAGTATCCCTGTTCTGCTTCGGATAACGCGTGGTGGTAGAATGCCACAGGCTTCAGGGTATCCGGTGCTTCCATGCACCTCTGTGCCAGCATGGCTCCCGCTGCCATTTGACTACAGTCTGTTACTAAGGTGAATGGCTTATCCATGTCGGGCAAACTCAACGACACTGCGTCCGCAATCAATTTCTTTATTGTTGAAAATGATTCATTCATTTCCTCCGTCCACTTCAGCCGGGCATACGGCTGGTCCGTGATCGCATTATACAATGGCCTGGCAATCTGTGACAATCCTGGTAGCCACCTTTGCACGTAGCCAAACGCACATAAAGCCCTTCTGAGCTCTCGTACATTATGAGGGCGCTCTATGCTCCTCAGTTGCTGCACTCTCTGTTCGTTTATCTTCACCATGCCTTCTTTGATGGTGCATCCCAAGTAACTGACTTCCCTGACTCCAAACTGGCACTTCTTCGATGCCAAGGCCAGGCCTGCATCCTTCACCTTTTCCAGCACCTTCTTGAGCCGTTTCATGAATACCTCCCAAGTTTCCCCCAGACTAGGATGTCGTCCAAATAGCACAGTGCATCGACGAAGTTTGAACTCCCCAAGATCACTGACATCATCCTTTGGAACGAATATCCCGCACCTTTCAAACCAAACGGGGTTCTTCCTGCAAACTCATAATGCCCCCATGGTACTACAAATGCCGTTGTCTCCGAATCTTCCTTTCGTAGTGGTAACTGGTGGTATCCCGACTTTGCATCAAGGACTGCAAAGTACTTAGCCTTCCCCAGCCTGTCCAAAAGATCATCAATGAGCGGTATTGGATGTAAAGTCGCTGTATTTGACTTCTCATTGGTTATCCGATAATCAATCGCCATCCTCAGGCTCCCGTCTTTCTTGCGTGCACACACTATGGGTGATACCCATTGGCTGTTAGATTCCCTGACTACTCCTTGTTTGAGTAGCTCATCGACGTGTTCCCGGACTTCATCGGCTAACTCTTTTGACAACCTCCTCGGCTTACTCACTACTGGTGAGCTGTCCTCTTTCAGCCTTATGGTGTGCTCCACACCCACTCTAACAATAGGCAGCTCTCCTCCCTTATAGAACACACCTTCATATCTGTTTAGAAGTCCTATTAATTGACCCCTCTTGCTCGGCTCCAGCTCACTGCACACCAACTCACTCAATTCCGTTGCTTTGCCTTTCTTTGTAGCCCTGGTGAACGCTTTACCCGCATTGTGGTTTGATACCCATACGGTCCCGAGTTCAACTGTAGCAATGGGATCCCCTTCTGCCAGGGTCACTTCTTCCTCGCCTAGATTTGCTACCCTGATCTGTACCTTACCGCTCTTTGTTCCCTGAACAATCCCGTAAGGTGTGCTTACTAGCTTATCGTCAAACGTTATTGGTTGAACCATATACTCCTTACCCATCTCCATGTTGGGGATGTAACATGTCACTAACGCCTCACTTCTGGTAGGGATCTTACGTTCGGCATCCACTACCACTTCCACTGAGTTCTCCTCCTCAATGGTCCCTGCGACGCTGCTCCTGCCTGCGGCTGGGTGGCATAACAACTCTATCTCTTCACTGTTACCATTGATAGTCATCACACTCTTGTTGAAGTCAAATGATATGTTGGCTATCCTAGACCAGAAATCTATCCCCAATATCATCGAGCAGATCATCTTCTCAACCACAATGAATCGCTGGTGGGCAAAAGTCAGTCCACCCACAGAGACAGTTCTTCGTATCTCTCCCGTGACAGGTATTCTTTCGCCGGATACTCCTCTCCCACATAACGCCGATTTCTCCATTGTGGCATTCTCCTGTTCTGTAAGTAAGTCTTCACATATTAATGACCACTGGGCCCCTGTATCGAACAGTGCAGTTTCCTCAACTCCTTTCTCCCACTTAATCCTAATATATGGTGTCGAGTTCAGACCCTCTGAAGCGATCCCCTTCATCTGTTGTAACTGCTTCCGCCGTCCTTTACCACCCTTCTCAGGAGTAATGACCCGAAACTGGGCTCTGGCACATGCCCAAGGTTTCACGTCATGCTCCTCCCCTTCTCTGCTGCTAGGTAGTAGGTTGCTCTCCAGTATTCTCCCCGCCCCCATCACTCTGCCCGTCTATAGGGGGCTCTACCGAAAATCCGTACCCCTTCCTCTTCCAGCCTTGTCACCTCTTCTTGCCGGTCTCCACGTAGGGTCCTCCTTCTTTCGCACTGTGCAGTGAAACCATCCCCCTCGGTGTTTCTTTTTACAGTAGAAGCATTCAAGGAATTCTAGTGGTAGCCCGTCTGATGATTCACCACTTCCTCTCGAACTGCTGCTCCTGTTTGACCGGCCTGACTCGCCGGACGATTGCTTCCTCCTGTTTCCAGGCTCCAGCATGTGACGATGACTTTTGCTCCCACGCGCTAACCGAATATTCTTGTGCTGCGTTGATGCTGCCGGTCTCCTTACCCATGGCTTTTACTGCGTCGTCTGTCTTCTTTGCTATATCCGCTACCTTCAGGAGGTCCTCCAGGGGTTTCGCCTCTTGCCGTGATTTCATCCAGCCACCCTCTAGCAGCTTCCGCTTGATCCTCTCGTCCCCCAATCCACTTACAAACTTCCATGCTACCCTTCTCTCGAGGTCTAATTGGCTATCTCCGTCATATGCCTCTTTCACCGTCATTTGCAGTCGGGTCATGTAGTCACTGATTGTCTCCCTGGGCTCCTGGATACTCTTCTCAAACCCAAGAATGTTCAGTTCGATTGCTTGTACATTCGTGAATTTATCCTTCAACTTACTTACAAGTAATTCGTCGTTACTAGTCCACGGATTCAGCATGGAGCTCGCAAAACTCACGTAGTCAAATGCTTCCCCTTGCAGACAAAGCGTCAGCTTCCCAGCCCTGTAGGATGGGGAGTCCCACCCTCTCAGTCGTGCCCGCATGTTCAGCTCTTTGACCACTTTATATCTCTCGATGAACCTTCTCATTGAAACTACAGAGTAGTCCCCGTCGTGTCCAATCATAATTGTTAGATTGACCTAATTTACTATATTTCAGACCAAGGAATGATAATTAGACAACTGCAGTTAACTAAGTCACACAAAATGTGACATTTTAAACATTATAGTGCCTAACAACAATAGATTTTCTTTCTGAGCGGTGCATATGGGAGTATGGGTTACGTGGCTAATGTTCAGATCTTCTAGATGTCAAAATTATTATTTTTGTTTACCAATATCCTCAAACTCAAATGAACGTGTCCATAAATTCAATTAAAATAAATTACATGAATTATCAAGATATAACATAGAAATTTCTTTTATTGCACAACTTTTGACGGATATTAAAACTGTTTATTTTATCCATAAATTCAATCAAAATAAATTACATGAATTATCAAGTCATATATCAATCTCAATCATCACTAATCTTAATCTCTCTAAAAACTGAGAGATACCAAAATATTTATATCATAAAAGGAGTTTTGAGAAGTTCCTTGACGGTTGTAGGCCTGAGCTCCGATTGTCTGCACAACATGAGAGATATGAGGTGTTTACAGAAGATTGAGAGTTCTGGTCTTTTCTTGGGAAACCTCAGCTGAATGTAGTAGTCTTCAGGAGTCTTGAAAGGGAATCCACCCAGGACCAGTCTGTAGAGCATCACTCCTGCAGCCCAGATATCAGCGTTTACAGGATCGTACTTGCCCCGGAAGAGGATATCTGGACTGGCGAATTGTCGAGTTCCCTCAAATGTTGTCAGGTTGTCTCCAGTGATGTAGGTGGCTGCTCCAAAGTCGATGAGTTTGATACTCAGATCGGCAGGATTGATAAGGATGTTCTCAGGTTTGATGTCCAGATGAGCTATCTTCAGTTCTGAGTGGAGGTAATCCAGGACTTCCAGGACTTGTTTCATTATCTTCTTCGTAATATCCTCGTCTAGGTATCTGATGTTAACTGTGTAGTCGAACAGGTCCTTCCAGCCAGGCAGGTACTCCAGGATCATGAGGTAATGTTTGGGGAAAGAGTAGAAATCTAGCAGCTCAATAACACCAGGATGGGAGATAGACACCATGGTCTTCACCTCCCTTGGAACAGTGGCATCTTCTAGAAGTTCTGTCTTCAGAGAGGTCTTCTTGTTGATCTGTTTCACGACGAAATCCTTGCAGGTAGTGTTGTGGATAGCAGTGTAGATCTGCCCAAATCCTCCAGATCCAAGTTTAGAGGTGATGGTGTAGGTTCGCTCGAAGTGGAAAATGTCCTCGGAGAAGGCTTGAGACTTGCTTTTGCTTTGACCCATAGTAGTTGATGTTAAAGTTAAACTCAGATAGATAACAAATCAAGATAGAAGTATTTAATGTTACTGGAAATGTTCCCTGAAGATTTTATATGGGTACCGTTGACACCAGTCGCGCCATAGATTTCCCCTTCGTAGCGCGTGTACGTAAATCCTCGTACACAGGTTCGTCGGTTTGACTGACGTTTGAGCGAGATGCGGTGTCAAGGAAAGTCGGATATGGCAGTGGATACTGGGTACGGTAGCAGATTTATGGAATGATACTAAATCAAAATAGAACTAAAAGTTAAATTTATTAACTGATATAGAAAATCGACCAGGGACATCCACTTCGAGAATTTTCTAAAACATGACAAACTTACCAATACCACCCAGCATGAAATATTGCAGAATACCACCGTCATAAAATGAACGATTCTATTTTGGAAGTTTACCATCAATCTAATATCATTTAGTGCCATTCATTTTTTAATAAATGAATGTACCACAGGTCTGTGGCAGATTCGCTGAAATCAGGAAACGTGGTGCCCCCTGAAAAGTTCGAGTGTGTGACAATATATTTCAGTGATATCGTAGGGTTCACTGCTATCAGTTCCCTCTCCAAACCTATGGAGGTGAGATTCGGTTCTTGGTTTGCGGATGATAACGTTTGATTTTTGGACATTTAATAAATTTTAAACTTTGTCCTTTTTGATGTTGCTTCATTAAGTTTACCAAAAGAGTTATAGAATTTACCCGACGAAACTAGATATAATTACACATTCTAACAATATCATATATGTTGGTCCAATCTTTGGAAAGTTACGTCCCTTGCAGGTGTTGGACATGCTGAACGATCTGTACACTGTGTTTGATATGTGCATTGAAAAGTACGATTGCTATAAAGTTGAAACCATCGGCGATGCGTACATGGTGGGTTTTATGACTGATCTTCTAATTTATTTAAACAATACGAGTCCAATTTATGAATTAGTATAGACAGCTTGTGATCATGACTATGAACGTTTTGCATCTCTAAGCCTCATCAACATTCATATCACTGATCAATAACTGTGCTCACGTCAGGTGGTATCAGGACTACCAGTTAGAAACGGAGACAGACACGCCGCGCAGATAGCTCTCATGTCTCTCAACTTCCTCTCCTGTCTCAAAACCTTCGTTATCAGTCATCTGCCCGAGAAGAAACTCAACATCCGAATAGGCATGCACTCAGGTAACAAGATACAATTAAGAGTAAGGAATGGACATTTCCTAATCCTGATATGTTTATAAGAGCCTTTTCCTTATCGCAATAGACGGGAACAAACAACATTTTGCCCCAGAATCATAATACAAATACAAACAATGCGACAAATAAATAATGTTCAGATCCGGATATTACAAGATACATTAAAATTTGAACTCGTTTTTGTGCATACTTTAGAGAAAGAGAGCTGATAGTATTAATGCCACTTGAACCAAATGCAATTTACTAGTACATACTACAACTCTACAACTCTACATGGTTAAACTTATCACCTCCACTTCAGGCCCAGCTGTAGCGGGGATCGTCGGTAAAAAGATGCCGAGATATTGTTTATTTGGAGACACCGTCAATACAGCTAGTCGGATGGAGTCTAATGGAGAACGTAAGAAACTGAAACTTTGTGTTTTATCTCATCACATGGACGTATTATATTCACATAATTAGAACATAGAATGGACTATAACTGTCGGTTATTCTTGGTTTTAGTGTTTATCGTAGTAACCTTTAATACCATCAGCCGAGAAGATCCAGATGAGCTCTCAATCCTACAGTATCCTCTCATCCCACGGCGGATTTATTATTGACCCACGGGAAGGTCTTGTAGACATGAAGGTATGGACAATAATGATTGTGGTTCATGGCATGATTTCATGTAACTCGTTAGTTTCATATAAACGTACCTCCCCTTTACATTGGGCGATCGTCGATAGAATTGAGCCGTTAATTTTCAAGTACAGCTGATTTTCAGTTATGTTTTTACGTTAACTCTGTGGTGCAACGTTGTTAAATACTGACATGGACATTAACTTTTGAACACAACACTCACTAACTCTCCCTAAATTTTACAGGGAAAGGAAAGCAACAAACATACTGGTTACAAGGAGTAGAAAAAGATCTTAACATAGACAACCCTCGTCATTTCACCGACAGGACTGCTCTTCAGAAGAGAGAGAGTAACGCTGTGACTACTCATGCTACGAATCTTGTTTACACAGTTGATTCTAACAGCAAGAAAAACACTGTCAAATCATCTTCGTCACCAAATGACATGGTGAATTATAACAATCTCAACCACGTTGACTCCAAGAACCACAAGGTTCATTTGAATAACAAAGAATTCCAGTGAAGCTGAGTTTCTTGTATCGACATTCGAAATGATGAGATTGCGTTATAAACTCTATGAAATGAAGAATCAAGAAAGAAGTGTGATCCCAATCATGAAAGTGATGTGGAACCAATAAATGATTGGTGGAGTTGGAGGAAAAGAAGAAGTTAATCACAACTTGAATATTTCGCGACTTTGTTCTTGCAACTAATTACACACTCCATTCTCAAATACCAAGAAGTGTAAAAATATTGGGCAGAACGCTCGCGGCATCTCGTGATATGTATAATGTACGTGTGGCACACTGACACTGTGCATTTTCGAGGCCACAAATTATACTGAATAATCCAAATTCATAAGCGATCAGATTCCGATATATTGGAATTGTTGAACGTTTTCAGTTTCAGCTTCTGCCTTCCAAATATAAATCTATTTTTACCCCTATTCTATTAATTCGAAGCCCACGGTCGTTTCGTGCCTGTCTAAGTTTTTATCAAGTTTTACAGATCTTTTACATTTAAGTACAATGACGTAAAATACTCTTGAGTTGAATTTGGTGTTGTAAATATATTTGAGTGATTCATATATTCATGTATATGTTAGGCTTTAGCTTTAATTTGAAACTTGACAAACGTTTTAACTGCAATTGTTTGAATTTTTATAAAAATATCTCTAAACAATTTTAGACATTTGAGAAACACTCAAAACAATAATTTCATCATGTTTAGATACTGGCAATAAACATTATGCAAAGTCTATCACCACTATTAACACAGCCATTTAAAAATATATTCGTCTTAATACTAACCATGCAGACTATTTAAAATCTTGGAACCCTTCTCAACAATTTTGGAACTTTTACCAAAACTCTTCAGTTTATTCCTGAGGTTATTCCCTCTCGTGATATGAATACAAGGCGTAGAACAGCTACTCAGGTTGATCAGCAAGATAGCCGTTGTCATGGTGAGAATTATCGTATCCCCGTCGCTAAGTGACAAAATATACCAGGAGGGGTTAATCGTGGCAAGGAATCCACAGAAGAAGAAAAAACACCACAGCGAGTAGCAGAGGACGAATGTTGTACCGATCACGATCAAGGTGACAAAGGCGTGGGACTGGCTGTTGACTGCTTTCTTCCTCCATGAAATTGAGAGTTGTTTTGTGGATTTGTCTTTCTGAAACCTCTTTGTGAATTTGTTCACAAGTTGTCTTGAGAGGCCAGGTTTGGGTGGTAATGCTGTTTGTGGTGCTGTCTGCTCGATGAGCTCGGAGATTAAAACAGAAGAGTCTTTCCTAATTTTACGGGCCGGTATCAGGATATCATTGTCCTGGTTTATACCATTGACTGAATTTGAAGTAAGACTAACAAAAGTATCATTTAATCCGCCATATTGATTAAAATCTTCATCTGTGCACTGATCTTCTTGGCGCATGGTCAGGGATGTATGTGACTGAGAAACTTTGGCCTGGATTTCTTTACAAACGTCTTCATCCTGCTCATGAAGAGTTTCTGAAAGATGTAAGAAAGCGTTTCTAGACTTTATCTTTCTCATTGTTTGATAAATTACACCATCATTTTTGTCCTTGAGTTTTGTTGACTCCTGAGACCTGAAAGAGCGTCGCAACTTCTGTTTCGAGTCCAACATGTTCTTCATAGCCTGAGCAAAGCCTTCACTTATCTCAACCATGTCAGCCAAACTTACTCTTACTTTATCCCGATTCTTACTGTTCCTTGAAAAGTAAACTATCAAGACGGTCAGGCAAATGAACGTGAAGGTAACTGGAAGAAATATGGGCAAAACCACCAGGAAGAAAAACAAAACACTCCTCCAATCCTTGCCGACATTACCAGCACCCAGACCCAGATCATCCAGTGTCCACGTACACAGAGTTACATAGTCATTGTAACGGTAAGATTTCCCGAGCATAAACACCATTGTGGACATGAGAATGGAGATAGTCCAAGTGATCCCTAAAACTAAATTGATCCTGAACTTGGTGAACCATATTGCATGTTTGAAAGGTCTGACTATCGCAACACATCTCACAAAACTGATCAGGGCAAAGATGTTGCAAGACTGTCTGCTGCAAATGTTGAAGAAGACCCCGCTAATGGTACACATTGTTCTGAATGGCTCGTCCAAAAACTCGTGGGTTTTGTTGAGGAAAGCAAAGCCGTTGAAGGACAGTACGAAGAGAGAAGTCATGAGATCACAAGAGCCGAGATGAAGGAACATTGCTGTGCTGATAAGCAATTTCCTCCCTTTTTTACAGAGTTGGAAATCCAGGAATATGGTCATAGCGAGGATGTTTGTGAAGGTGCCGAGAAGGGAAAGGAAGATGTACGAATAGCCACAAAACTGTTCGAATCTGATAATGGTTGCTGAGGTGTGGTTCGCGTGCTCCGGTAGCGAGATCATCTGCTCAGATCTTGTTTTACTCATCGCTACGGTGACCAAATGTGAGTAATGGTACCACGTGTCTCAAATATTGTACGAAATTGAGGATACACTTGGAGTTGTAGGCAATGCTGGAGGAAATTATTACCAGTAATTATTACCAAATAACGCGTAAATTTAAAGGCTATAGTCACGAAACTAACACTAACACAGATATTGATATGATGTGTGGATCATGCGATTGCTCAGCAATTAATAATATTAATGTAACCGACCAACGTGACACATTCCCCCCAGTAACGAGTTAATTGGTAGTTCCGCTTGTGCTCATGGTCGTCAATATCTTGCATATGTTTTACTGTAACTGGTAACGAAGTATTAGGCAGGGATATTATACACGTTTAAAGGTTTAACGTTAATAACAGGCTTATTCACAATGCATACTGACAAGTTTAACGCGAACGAAGCTAAGTCGAAAGCTGAAAAACATTTCGTGACTACTCGAACAAAACCAGTACCAAAGTACCTCCCGAACATGGTACAACATGGAGTTAAGTGAAGCTAGTTCCTGGTAGGACCATGTGTTTAATTGGAAGCTGGGTGGTAGATGCTACTTTATTAGTTTAAAGATATTTGATGTGGCCGAAGACAATGAGGCATCATGTAGCCTCCAGGCTCGACAAACCCCGTTTGTCGGGGTTTGTCGAGGGGTTTTGCCTTGGGCCCACCGGCTACATGAGGCCTTCTTGTGTAGTGTTTTTCCACGTAAAGCTTGATGACTCCGTCTCGGCTTTTTGTTGGGAGACTCAAAAAAAGAAAAAAAAGAAAAAAAAGCCTCCAGGCTCGAAAAACCCCGACACACCCGACAAACCCCGACGTGTCGAGATATGTCGTATCATGTCGGACCCACCGGCTACATGATGCCTACAATGGCGATCTGAAAAATTGTAACTTTTTGCGACTAAAACTATGTTGAAAACAAATAAAAGTTTATCTTGGATTTTTTAAACGTATCAGATAGAAAATATACATTGTACAAACTTAAACTATAATTCGGAACAACAAAAATCGACCAAACCACAAACACTCATCACATCAATGTATCAAAACTAGAATTTTTCATTGCGGACAGACCTGATCATCACAATTCATTATTCAAGGTCTGTGCCAAACAAGTATCAGAATGGTTCAATGTTATAATTTTGTCTCTGCATCTATTAAAAATAACATGGGACTTGGGTCAGTCACATGTTTGACACAGGTTTCAACATTGAATTTCGTTTTTATTAAACATAAAAAAAACCATTCTAATATAAAAACTAAACTACAATGACCACTTGAAGTTACTGCCCAACATTCCATTATTATAAGCTCCACACTGAACGTTCGATAATTGTTAAACTACTTTATCAAGCCCGGTAGCGCAATAATAAGTTAACCGAAAACCCAACCACCATTATAAAATTCAATACTGTATACTAAAAGTCTCAAACAAAAGAGCATACTTGAAATACATTACTAGCTTATTTCCCAATACATCATATGTATAATCAAGTGTAAGGATCACAAAAATCCCGATAACAATATCCCCCAAAATCTATCCGTATTTCTCTCTGAACTCAACATGAAACTTAGCCAGTTTCTCCAGGAAAACTACCAGCTGTTCCATTGGAGGAAGGATCGTCATCCTGAAGTGGAAGGTACCAGGGTACTGCCAGAATCCACTGCCAGGAACCACGCAGATACCCGTGTTTTCTAGAAGCTCCAAACAGTAGAAGAAGTCTGGAGTTACGCCCTTGCTTTCCGCGAGCTCGATAGCTTTCTTGGGGATTTCGATGCGAGGGAATGCGTACATGGCGCCCTGGAGATTATTGCAGACAATGCCAGGAATCTCGTTCAGTTTCTCGTGAACCAGGATGGACCGCTCTTTGAGGGACGCCAGAACTCCTTCGGTTTCAGATTTGTACAGTTCAGCGGCGTCACCAGAGGGAGCCTTAACCATACAGCTGATAGCAACTTGACCGGAAGTAGAGGAACACAGAGAAGCAGAGATAAGCTTCTGCAGCATCACTTTCACTTCCGGGTCGAAGTTGGTCATCTCACAATAGCCTCCCCTCAGTCCACACTCTCCCATAAAACCCTTGGAGACCGAATGGAAAGATGCCAGCGGTTGAGAATCGTACTCAGGTCCCAGAGACCGCAGGACCTTCTTGAAGGACACAAACTGATCGTCGTCACCCCAGATGTTGGTCTGGTAAACTTCGTCAGCCATTATCAGGAGGTCATGTTTGTGGGCGAACTTGATGATGTCTACTATGTTCTCTGGAGGAATGTTCTGGCCCGTGGGGTTGCCTGAAATTATTAAGCCGTCAGGTATTTTAGAAAATTGTTAGATTTCGGAGATAAAATATTTGATTCTGAAATAAAAGTAATGAAAATGTTATGAGAGCAATTAGGCCGGGATTCAAGAACGATCACTGATTACGACGAGAGTACTAAAACCATCCATATCTCCATGCATTGCATTGGTTGGAACTTTTAGTACATTACATTTCTAAATTCGTTTCTGATAAGAATTGTTGACAGATGGTCACCATGTTATCCAGCTGCCATTCAGCAGAACTTGGCAACAGTAATGATGGATGATGATTAATCACTCTACACTCGACTGTCACGTGACTTTTTAAACACGTTTTCTTGGTGGTCCTGAATTACTATTCGAAATCCTAGCCCCCTAATCTGATCCCAACCCTAACCCTAACCCAATCTCTAACAAAAGCATATGCTGAAACCCTAACCCTAACGAGAAATTAGACCTACTTCCTTAAATGGTCATATCACGTGATCGACTGTTGGGGGCTCTTTTAGAAAAATATCGAAGATCGACTGTAGAGTGATTTATAGCACGCTTGACGCTCGAGTAATGATATTCATATACAAATATAGCTAAAATCATGTATCAAAAGTTGTCTAAAATTTTTACAAATCTCTGATTCATCTTCTTTCCGCAACAACAGAATCGTTCGATCCACGTATGCAGTGGTTAAATTTAAGTCACGATTGTTAAATTAATCACGATCGTTATTACGAATTATACACGTACGTACGTAACGTACGTGCGCGCGCGCGTTTCGAACGTGACTACGGTTTGACACGCGCGGTGAGCCGCGCACTTTTGTTGGATTTGAACTATACGAAAATCAAATTATGAATCGAGCGCTACTAGGGCGCTCACTTAGCGCTTAGTTACCAGCCAACTTTACTTGTTATGATTTGTACCTCTTAGTGTGACCTGGATCAGAATATTTTCTTCGACTTCAGTTTTCAAAAGTGAGAGTGCTTGGATCGAATATAGATATATCTCTGTAAGAGTGTATAAGATGTTACAACTTACACACGTGCGCCGCACGTCGTGCGGTAATCGGTATCATGTCACCAAGTGACTTGTCTATTGTCGTTACCAATGGCCACACTATTCACCTAATACCGTAATCTGCTTGACAGCTCGATCGAATTAAATGATTGCATTTGTTGTTATAAAGAACGAAATTAAGCACATTCATATCGATTATCACATTAGTGAGAACATGAGTGGAAGCAGGACAGAAATGTTCGCAGGGTTAACTGTAACACGACAGTTAAGACCACTTGGTTCCGATGGCTTCCGCAGGAGATGTTGGTTGTAAGTTATTATACATCGAACTTGTTTGTTTCCTCTTACCTACATTTTTGCTGACTCGACCTGCAATCTGCACGAGTTGTAAGTGAAATTATATAAATCTTCTAATTGTAGGTATATTAAAGTATATTAAAATGTAGGATTTTTTCCGATTTTGACCCGGGGATATACTTTAATATACTTTAATATGGTTGGCCCCCCCCCCCCAAATTTTACTCTTCAGGCACATGAGAGCCAGGTTCCCTACTCTCGAAGCGGTTCCCGAAATAAAACGAGCTGTGGCACGTTTCTGCCATATCGAGGGTAAATAAGTTTTTATCACTTGCCATTGCCTCACTTCTTATTAGGAACTAGAGAAGTTCTCGCAAAACATCATTATATATGAAACATTTGACACGGAGTTGTAGAGTGAGCTATGTGCCTCGCCAGGGCTAAAGTAGTGAATGACCTTGCTGTACGGCAAGTTAAACAAGGATCTGAAACTACTAGGTTCCGTACAGGCTCAACTCTACACCCGTGCCAATATGTTCATATGAAAGCCTCTTGATTTATACTAATAATTCTTTAATTCTTTTGCTCGCTTTCTTTTCACCCTTCCCCCTCTCTCGATATTTCATCAATTATCACATCCCAACATTTGAAATGTTTTCAAGTAAAGTTTAGCCTCAAGAACTTAACCTTCACGGACATTATAGTAACAAAATGCTTTGCCCGTGTGTTCTCTGTCAACAAGAGAATGAATTGTCCGACCGTACGGTAAAGGAACATCTGCTCTCATTCGGTCACATGAAGAAAACACTGTTGGCTGATTTTATCAAACATACCGATCCGGGAGACAAACTTTTTCACCACGTGCTGAGGTAATTTACTAATAAGACACAGGCTGTCTGCATCTTTGACTATAAAACATCATCAGTCGTAACTTGAGTAGGATCAGAGTGGGTTGAGTGTAGCACTTTAAAAGGATATTTAAGAGCTGAACTTGTGAATATTAAACATCTGAAGGTGATCATCCGTGTAATCCTGCAGGTCGTTACTAGATAAGTGCTTTGAAGAGGGAGCAACCTTTGAGGTGAAGGGTTCACAGGGAAAACCCCTCCTCATCACCACTATCATTAAGCCGCACAAGGAAATAAAAACTCCTGCTGACAGTGTTAAAAGGAAGCACACTCATGTCTTCAAGGATATAGTAGAGAGCCAGGTATCCTGAATAACGTTATCGGTAATAAGTTAAACTGTATATCACTTCCGCAGTTTGCCATCATAGCCATACTGAAACTGAACGAATCCCTACAGGCAATTTAGTTCAATCAACATGAATATTTGCAGGCTGAGTCAAGCTGTTCAAAATCTAATGACTCTGATATCGAATCAGTGACCAAACGGATCCGAACTGCGGAGTTAACATCACTCTCTAAAGAGCAGCGGAGTATGTACAGGCGTTGGCTGGCGTTGACTGTAAGAAACGAATTGATGCTCTTCATGTTGCTATGTTCAAAGCTGAATGTAAGTTGTTAAGAACGATACAAATTGTCATTATCATTACAACTTAGCGGGTGGAAAAGTTAATTCTTAGTGTGCAATAGATTTCATCGCAATAAATTAAATGCTGACTCAATTTTTAGCTAACACGGGGACAGCCAATGTACGAAACAACCTGCGGCCACTGCTAAAAAAATATGATATAAAAATGGAATCAGAGAAGGAAATCAAGTCAATGGAAGAATTATACACCGTGAGTGCTCAGTTGAACTCAAAACCAATTATATATCATTTTGGTGTCATGGCGTACTAGCATATAGCATAGCACAACCCAGATTTTGAAATATAGAATATATTGTACATCAAAAATTAACATCATTCATGTTTTAAGGTGAACTATATGAGTGCAATGGTTTCTCTTTCCCATAAAGCTGCAGCACATGATAAAAATGAAACTAAAAGTGGTGAGCTGTTAGCAAGACGTACCCCAGTAGCCTACTGTGATGGACAGGAACTGCTAACCAAAACACTTATAACCTTGAAGAATACCGGTATTTCAAATTTCTAGAGATTATAGAGCTGTTTACAAAAAATTAATTTGATTTATATAGGTCAAGGTGGGCAGTTCTTTTAGCGGTTTTTATCACATAGTTCATTAACAGCCAGCTGAATTCTATATATTCCAGGCCAGTTAGATGTGGGAACTGACAAAACTATACATGTTAAGCTGTTTGTAGACGCAGACACGAGCTCCACTAAAGTGGCAGTCAATGTGCTAAACCAGCCTTCGTGTAACAGCTCGTATGCCCACCCAATGCTGGTGTACACCGAAGCTCCGGACCATCGCAGGAACATGGAGGTCATATTTAAGGTATTTCTTCATGAAATCTAGACTTCAACTTGAGCTTATTTGTATTAACAGCTTACACTTTAAAAACTGGACAGGCATGAGACAGATAACATTACAGGTGGTTAACCGGGACCTACCACAGCTCAAGAACTTTGTCTTCTGTGGAGCACATGTGAAGATGATTCTCTGTGCAGACACAAAGGCACTGTGGGCTATGCTGGGTATGGGCAGCAATGGGACGTTCCCCTGTCCACTGTGCGAGGTACATAAAGACCTGATGCAAGTACCCAGAAGCCAGAGAGCTCTCTGCAAGCCCCGAACTTTTGCGGGAATTATGCAGAACTTTGATGCTAATATGAGGTACTTATAAACTTATAATACCAGTCATTAACTCGCTGATTGCAGCTCCTTCATTTCACAAAGTACAAACATTTATCTCGATGTATATTGTATACCATGTATGTATTTCGATAGATGTATACCATTTCTGTAAACTGTTAGTATCGAGTTTTTCCACATCAGAATGACTCAGTGTAACCCGAGATCCCAAGCCCAGTTTATGAATGTTGCTTCACGACCCATCACAGACTGTTTCGGGGAGGATTCTGATTATCTCATAAACTGGGTCGCTGTTCCGTTCTTTGCACATAGTAAGTGATCGAAGCTCACAGTTTTTTATTCGAACACCGCTCATGCTGTTCCTGATATGTGGCAAATAGAACTAGGTACTAGAATTATTGACTGATTGTCATGACTCTTGATACTTCCTTTAGAACATCAAAGTCGGGACTTTTCTGTGGACAGAGTACGGTAAACTGTGCGAGGAGATAGACTTTGTACTCGCTTGCAATGTGGCAGACGGGTTTCTTCCCAACAGCTACAGCAGTACGACAGACTTTGGAGCCATGATTCTGCGCATCGAACAAGGTAATGTAGATTCATCGATGAATGTATCACTTCATTATTGAAAAATTGGAGGCTTTGCAAACTGATATATAATGAGTTGAAGAAAATAAGTGTGGCACTGTACATTTTAGGTAACCGTGTGGCCTCGAAGTGCAACAGTGGGCCCCTTTCCTCGAAGTATGAGCAATATTTGAGGGGCATCAATGTCACTCCTGAGGCATACCATGGTGTGTCCCTGACCGGCGTGAGAGCAGGATATTTGGTTAAAGCCAATCACACTCAATTTTGGACAGACCACTTCTATAAAAACGAGTAAGTTCTGTGAGATCAGTGCGATTTAACTCATGTTACTAATGGTTGTCGTTTATAGTGAAATAACTACCACTTTTTACTTGTGATTGAAGGCTAAAATTCTGTATTGATAACGAGCTTCTGTGACTGACCGATTCTGTGTTGACAGGAAGATAAGACCACAGGACAAGCTGCACTTTCAGCAACGGCTCCTTGCACTGGATCGCATTAAGTCCTCGTATAGAGATCTCTTAGTTCTCGGTGGCAAAAGTGGGAAAGTGAAGAGTCCCCGTGAGATCGAAACTCTTGTCAAGGCCAGGGACCTCTTCTTGCAGAGTACCGAAAGTTTGGTCAGTCCACATCGGTGAAGGTATTGTTGTTATCTCTTATAGCTTTACCTGTTGTCTCCAACCCCTAAATAGCCTGGAAGAAAGTTATTTTCATGACATATTTATAAGAAACTCCGGCCCAACCGAACTCTTAAAATTGCAACATCATTTCAACACCACCTCCACCAGATACATCTCCTTGAAGACCACTTTTTGGAGCAGATACAGCTCTGGGGGATGTTTTCTGGATCTTTCAATGAGCAAGGTGGTGAGAGTACTCACTCCCTTTTTAAGAATCACGAACACATGACAAGTAAGAAATAACTTGGGCTTTTAGAATTAATTGAGTTTGAGATCAAATTTTGATTTCCACACGTTGAATAGTAGTGTGTAAGGGGTCGTTCATATATTACTTAACCATCGAAGGTGAGGGGGAGTACATAATATGTGGACGACCACCACTTTAATACAGAAATGTAAGCAACATAAATTTTCAGACCATGTTCGTAATGACGAAGACCGAGTTGTGAAAAAGTGCGAGCTAGCAACACGGAAATACCTGTTGAAAGTGAAATCCAAGCTGTGTGACTGAAATGGGTCAATCATGATGGATTTAGTGTTTGGGACAATCTGCTATATGCCTAAAATTGAAAGATTGTTAATTTGGTGATGCTTCACCCTCTGTTCATATTTTCTACTTGATCAATAATGATATTCGCCACATATTATGTAAAACGCCGCTTATGTTTTGCCATTAAAATTTTTTCGTTATAGTAGTGACTGCGACTGAAACCGCGCATCACGCAAGTTTTTGTCGCCGCGCGAGGGTGATTCAATTTTGTCCACTTCGCCATAATTCTCAGAGGATGTAATTTGACGAGTGCGGGACAATTTTGAGCGCAAGGAATCACTTGAATCGAAGATAACGATTGAGCTGACAATTTCTCCGGTAAAAATTAGACCTTAGATAACTGAATTGGGATGACATCGGAAATAACTCTGATGCGAGCAGGAATACACTATGTCATACTCATAGCAGTAATACTTAGACGTGAATATTAATATCCGATGGATCAAATTAGTGTATATGTTATCATTATTATATATATAAAGTGTGCCTCACTGGGGCACCCTTAAGTAACAGTTCCAGCTCGATAGGCCTCGTAACCGGGATGGATAGAGACAAACGAAATACATCATCTCGTCACAAGCAATCAGATCTAAGTTAAACGATAAGGCCAGGACATACTATGAGCATTGAATTAACTGTCAAAATGGTAACCTGAGCCCTAGAGGTGATCACATGCTATAAGCCTAACGGAAAAGTATTCTAAAAATATAAATCTAATCGTTAAGTTAAACACATTTGAAAGCGGCTGTCAGATAATATAAACGGTTCGGGATGATGGCTGTCGAGGTTCGGGCATGACGCGCCCGGCCGCACAATAAGCGGTGACTAGGGAAGTCACAACAAAAAGTCCCCTCTCAGTCTAATCTGAGCTCTCGATATTTTGGAAGAATTCTGGATTCTAGCTATATACTAGAAATAGGTAAATTAGTCAACGAACATGAGATGAATCATATATTAACTTAAAGATGAAAACCCGCTAATCAACGTTGACCAAAATTAAATTATGTGGGCTTACAATTGAATCATATAGAGTAACTATTTGATCATTTGACGTAGCCATTTTGTCAACGCAGCATTTTGTCAATTTGTCAACTCTAAATATTCGACTGCTGTTAATCTTTTAACTTTAATTATAAACTTATGTTACCACTGAAAATCTGAAATGGCTCCAGTAGATCTGTAGATGTGGCAGCTAGGTTCTCGTTATATACTGCGATAATCGCAAATTGAGGCGACAATCGCACGATAATCGCATAATGAGGCGATTATCGCACAAGGGGGGGCGATAATCGCAAAATGAGGCGATAACCGCGCGATAATCGCAAAATGAGGCGATAATCGCACAAGGAGTCGATTATCGCGCGATAATCGCGAGGGAGTGCGATTATCGCTGCAAAAATAAAATCTGCGAAATGGCCAACATTTTCCACTGTGCTACAAGATACAGTAGATGAATCCATAAATTTGGAACATGGGTACATCGCAGTATTGGCCGTATTTGAGTGCTCGGGAGGCTCAGTTCGGTTTTCTAAGATGGATATAGCCGTAAGCTATGCCTAGGAGCCATCAAAAGTCGCATAAAATTACCCATGGAATGACCAGAAATGAACGAAAATGAACATTCTTCTCAAAGTGCTCCGAATGGTTTAAAATGGGTCGGAAAGTGTTAACATTGGACCTAGGACCACTCAAACCAAGTTTGGGAATCACTGCATGTCTAGAACCGATGTTACCTATGTTCCAAAATGTTCCAATTTTGGGACAATAATCCTCCTGAGAATCCAGATTTTTGGAACATGGGCACATCGAAGTATTGGCTGTATTTAAGTGCTGGGAAGCCTCAATTCGGTTTTCTAAGATGGATATAGGTAAAGACTAGGCCTAAGAGCCATCAAAACTCAAATAACATTACCCAGGTTCATGGAATGAACGAAAATGAACAAAAATGAATATTGTCCTAAAAATGCTCAGAACGGTTTAAAATTGGTCGGAAAGTGTTTATATTGGTCCTGCGACCACTCAAACCAAGTTTGGGAATCACTGCATGTCTAGAACCGATGTGACCTATGTTCCAAAATGTTCCAATTTTGGGACAATAATCCTCCTGAGAATCCAGATTTTTGGAACATGGGCACATCGAAGTATTGCCTGTATTTAAGTGCTGGGAAGCCTCAATTCGGTTTTCTAAGATGGATATAGGTAAAAACTAGGCCTAAGAGCCATCAAAACTCAAATAACATTACCCAGGTTCATGGAATGAACGAAAATGAACAAAAATGAATATTGTCCTTAAAATGCTCAGAACGGTTTAAAATTGGTCGGAAAGTGTTTATATTGGTCATAGGACCACCCAAAGCAAGTTTGGGAATCACTGCATGTCTAGAACCGATGTTACCAATGTTCCAAAATGTTCCAATTTTGGGACAATAATCCTCCTGAGAATCCAGATTTTTGGAACATGGGCACATCGAAGTATTGGCTGTATTTAAGTGCTGGGAAGCATTTATATCAAAATATTGGAGGATTATTAAAACAAAAATATTTGCCCAATAAAATAATTTCTGTTTAATTGTACATAATTCTGAATGCAACTTTAAGACCCTGTTGGACGACAATATTGACTCTTTGCCACCATTTTTTAACCATTCTGAGTGCTTGGGTAATAAAACCGTTCTGAGCATTTTTAGGACAATATTCATTTTTTGTTCATTTTCGTTCATTCCATGAACCTGGGTAATGTTATTTGAGTTTTGATGGCTCTTAGGCTTAGTTTTTACCTATATCCATCTTAGAAAACCGAATTGAGGCTTCCCAGCACTTAAATACAGCCAATACTTCGATGTGCCCATGTTCCAAAAATCTGGATTCTCAGGAGGATTATTGTCCCAAAATTGGAACATTTTGGAACATTGGTAACATCGGTTCTAGACATGCAGTGATTCCCAAACTTGCTTTGGGTGGTCCTAGGACCAATATAAACACTTTCCGACCAATTTTAAACCGTTCTGAGCATTTTAAGGACAATATTCATTTTTGTTCATTTTCGTTCATTCCATGAACCTGGGTAATGTTATTTGAGTTTTGATGGCTCTTAGGCCTAGTTTTTACCTATATCCATCTTAGAAAACCAAATTGACGCTTCCCAGCACTTAAATACAGCCAATACTTCGATGTGCCCATGTTCCAAAAATCTGGATTCTCAGGAGGATTATTGTCCCAAAATTGGAACATTTTGGAACATAGGTAACATCGGTTCTAGACATGCAGTGATTCCCAAACTTGGTTTGAGTGGTCATAGGACCAATATAAACACTTTCCGACCAATTTTAAACCGTTCTGAGCATTTTTAGGACAATATTCATTTTTGTTCATTTTCGTTCATTACATGAACCTGTGTAATGTTATTTGAGTTTTGATGGCTCTTAGGCCTAGTTTTTACCTATATCCATCCTAGAAAACCGAATTGAGGCTTCCCAGCACTTAAATACAGCCAATACTTCGATGTGCCCATGTTCCAAAAATCTGGATTCTCAGGAGGATTATTGTCCCAAAATTGGAACATTTTGGAACATAGGTCACATCGGTTCTAGACATGCAGTGATTCCCAAACTTGGTTTGAGTGGTCATAGGACCAATATAAACACTTTTCGACCAATTTTAAACCGTTCTGAGCATTTTTAGGACAATATTCATTTTTGTTCATTTTCGTTCATTCCATGAACCTGGGTAATGTTATTTGAGTCTTGATGGCTCTTAGGCCTAGTCTTTACCTATATCCATCTTAGAAAACCGAATTGAGGCTTCCCAGCACTTAAATACAGCCAATACTTCGATGTGCCCATGTTCCAAAAATCTGGATTCTCAGGAGGATTATTGTCCCAAAATTGGAACATTTTGGAACATAGGTAACATCGGTTCTAGACATGCAGTGATTCCCAAACTTGGTTTGAGTGGTCATAGGACCAATATAAACACTTTCCGACCAATTTTAAACCGTTCTGAGCATTTTTAGGACAATATTCATTTTTGTTCATTTTCGTTCATTCCATGAACCTGGGTAATGTTATTTGAGTTTTGATGGCTCTTAGGCCTAGTTTTTACCTATATATCCATCATTTACAATTATTTTTGGCACTATTTAGAGCTTATTAGGGCAAATAAATGCATGGGACACTTTTGGGACAATTTTGGGACATGTTCCAAAAATGTTCCAAAAATGTTCCAAAAATCTGGATTCATCAACTCACAAGATAAACATTTACGGTTCGGCGTGCGCGCGTACCGGCTTTATCATGGCCACATGTGGGTAGAGTTTCATATCCTCGATTAGCAAACAAGTTTAATGTATCACTTATCAGCACATCAAGTTATAGAAGACAGCATAACGGAAGGGTTTTCTTGCAGAAAACAGATACCAATTTACCATACACTGATTCTGCAGTCCTGGAAGTCTTATCGCTGACATATTTTGTATTTGTGATAAGGGACTTCAAAGAATACCCGATAATAATGTAACCACATTTACCACAAAGGCAGAAAAAGGCGGATGTTTTGGGTTTTCTGTGCATACTTTTACACTGTTATTGTTCACAACCAGAGGAATACAATACATGGTTGAATGAAATGTTGTTGTAGCTTACGTATTTAAGTCACATCATTACACAATACACATTACACACCATTGTAATCAAGGGACTTGAATATGCAGCATAATTACTGTATATCATTCACATATCATGAAATATTTGGTGGCTGCTGTTAGTCTATATTAACTCAGAATATTCTAGATCTGATGATGTAACCATAACAGTTAACACTTACCCGGATTAATGACACAGATAGCTTTAGGGACACATCTCGACTTTGCCTCATCGTACGCTCGTTCTAGTTCCTCTGGGTTCAGTGTCCAGTTGTTATGCTCGTCCATGTAATAACTTATCTGTAAAGAGGTCAATATTACGAAGAAGGAAATTATGATAACTTATTTAGCCCGTTTCTCTTTTAAAGGACACAAAATAGACAGCTTGATCGTAATTTAATTGGAGATAGCTTCCCTTACAACTGAACAAATTGTTATAGCATTATATTAATGTTCAACCCTAGACCGGATGTAGAATAATTTCTTAAAAAGGAAAGCAAATAAGACCCTTTAGTTTAGAATTGAGTGTAGATTCCCTGTAACTGTCAGGATTTACATATTCGATTATTATATTATTTACTTATCTATATATAGATTTGAATAATATGTAGGGATTGTTAGTGTAGAATTACTCCAAGTAAAGAGCAGTTAAGTTTAATTTCAGCTTATTTAGAGCATTAACTAAGGAGAGATACTCAGAAACGCTACTTCGATTTTTTAAAATAATTAATATGCAGTAATGAAATTCATTATTTTCGAATTTACATAAATAAAAATATCAATCACAATAGTAAAAACCACGTCACAGAATGTGATAGAAGATAATAGAATGAAAAAGAATAGAATGCAAAAAATTAATACAGCTTGTTAGTAAAATTTGTCGGCAAATAGAGCAAAAATAATGTTCTTCTAATTCTAAAATCATCACGCAAAGGAAAATAAGTAACGATTAAGAAATTTGATGGTCCCGGTATCTGACAGCTGTTATCGGCGGAAAAGACAAACCATGAAATTAAAACTACATTGTGTACGCCTCAGTATATTTAAACAATTTAACCTACAATTTAACCTACTTCCGCTATCTTCTATTAACTTATAAAGCTTTCTCCACCTGAATAGGACGAGGTTGATTATCTCTTTCTTCAGCTGCGTCATTACCACCTCCTCCCAGAGAAGAGAAGAGTTTTGATGAAAGTGACAGTATCTTGGAGCGGAGAAATCTTCGGAAACTTGGAACTGTCAGACTATAAATATAAAAGTTCGACATCACGTTCAGTAGAGTCAGATAAGAGGCGAGTCTGACGAGTCCTGGAGATTGTTCCTTCTTGAACATTCCAGCGACCTTGGACAAGTTGAAGAGTAAAGATGAGAGACAATAAACAGCAGCTGTCAGCACTACAGTTAAAATGCCTTGCCACCTTACAGAACCATTCCCCCTTCGCGAAATAGCCCTTGCTTTGAACAAAAGTCTGAGGGTTAGGACCGAGGTTAGGATCACAACTGCCATTGTTACGATGTAGAAAGATCCAGCCACCAAGGAGTATGAAGCTATTCCATCACCGGGATTACTCACATTGTACTTTATATCGTAGGTCGAGTAGTCGAATTCAAGGTCATCTGAGTATGCGAGCAAAGTTCCCAATGAAACAGAAATATTCATTAACCAAAATGCTCCACAAAATAAATGAGCTCGCTTAGCTGTCCAACTTCTCGTCTTTAAAGGATATTTGACTAACAAATATTTGCTGAACGTCAGAAAACAGACAAGTAGATTGCTAATAGGGTAGGATACCAATGTTATGAATATTTGGCCTTTAGCTACAACATCACTCAAGATCCAGTCTTCGGCAACAATAGAAATTACGGTAGGGAAAGCCCACGCAAGGGTTAGAGCTAAATCGCAAACTGCTATTTGTTGAATCAAGGCTACAATGAATTTGTTGAGTTTGAAAGCGTCATATCTGAATGAAGATATCAAAATTATGATATCTCCAAATAATGAAGACAGAATAACTATCATCAGATAGACTATCCACAGCCATTTTTCTGTTCCATTTTGCATTCCGTAAAGAGTGGCGTTGTTTCGTGGTATCATAGTTTTATAAAGCAGTGGCCAGTGGACCACAGGACCAGTGCTGTTGAGTGATAAAAAACACAGAAAGACGAACAAGTAGAAACTAAACTGGTCTAACCTCAGGTAAATTGAAGAAACTTGGAAGATACGTAAAACTACTCAAGGAAAGTTTTGCCCCCATTTATATTTGAAATACAGAATAGAATCTACAGGATTGTTATAGTAAGTAGGAATGTGCTACTACGTACAATACTCATACTTCATTATAAACATAGGCTGGTAAGCTGATACATACTTTACTAGAAATGAGTAGCGAGAAGCAAGTGAAGTGCCTAGAAACAAGCTACAGCAGGGAGAGGATTTCTGACGAATACAATGACACATTTCGAGCAAATGTCAGAAGAATATTCTAGATTTACTGAATGAAAAGTTTAACCAACAAGAAAATGAATTTCCTAATCTAGTGTTAGCACATAATATCATCAGTAAACAACTGACCAGTTCAGCGTTAAACTCAGCAGTACAAGCGGAGTAGAGAGGGTACTGAGGTACAGGGATCATGAAACCGGGTCTGGACTCGTTATCCATCGTCAAACACAGCTTCATTATGTTCTGAGGACGGGTTTTGTCATAAATCATATGGTATTTAGAGGTTGCTAGTTTTACTGTATCTTGGTTTTTAGTTTTAATTTTTACCGAGAGTAGGCTTAATAACAGGATATAAAGGTATAGGCTTAATAACAGGATTTAAAGGTATAGGCTTAATGACAGGATTTAAAGATTGGACTGCACCCTCACAATATTTCCTCACAACTAATCTTCCTACAGCACTGACCTTGATACAGCTGCTAGCTCCAGTTCCAACAAAGATATCATCAGGACTGGCTGGGTAACCGTCCCTTTCTGAGATGTACTCTGCCACGTGGTTCCTTACTGTTACTATCCCTGGTGAGTCTGTGTAGGATCCTGAGGGGGTGTTGTCAATTGTCAAACGCAAGGAAATATTATTTAACGTCCAGGTGGGTTCACGTTTTGTACAATGTGCTACCTTTTAAAAGTAGGAAGATGGAAATTCTAATTATAAATATTCTTTTATAACTATAGAATATGTTACAGTAGGTAACTACATTTATTCAGGACGTAACAGAAGGAATTAATTTAATGCAGTTTGAGGAGTCCTCACTCTCCTCACGTCCGAAAATGGCGTTTCTCTTGTCGCTAACATAATTTATGAACCTCAGACGTATTATATAATATTTTTTTTTTTTTTTTTTTTTTTTTAAGAGAGGCTGGGCATAGAAAGCCCACTAGAGGATAGCATTAAGATGCTTTGCCTACCTCTGGGATGAGGGGGGGTTTATTGGAGACAACAGTGTGAATTGTGGAGGACGGTGGTGGTAATGATCTGAATGGGAATACCGCGCTTTGGTACCAGATGAGTTTATAGATCAGTTAGGCAAGGCTGCAAATGTGATGTGTTAATGCGCTAAGTTACGCCAGTCTGATCCAGTTCTTCTGGTACTATTAAGCGTTTGGTGCGGTTTGTGAAGTTGACGATTGTGGTAATGTGGTGGTTGTCGAATATGTCGTTGACCGAGAGGTAGTAGTCCCGAAAGTATTGACCTCTTAGTTGGGCAATAGCTGGGCACTGTCCAAGAAAGTGTGAGACAGTTTCCTCTCCGTCACCGCACATAGGACAAGCACTGGTGCTAGATTTGCGGATGGTGTGAAGGTGTTTGTTTAAGCCACAGTGGCCCGTGATTAGGTGGACTGCGGTTCTATAGTCTTGTCTATTGTTGATGAGTGACGTGTTTATATTATTGATTATTTTGGTGTGCTTTTGGCCAAGTGTTAGTTTGGTGTGTCTAGGACCATCCGTTAACCAGATATCCTGATTCAGTCTGTGGACTTTGTTGTTGATTTGTCGTTTGATGTAAGATTGAGGGATTGGGCATTTCAAAACGTGTTCGCTGGTCGTGCCAAGCTTGGCCAGCTCATCCGCTTTTTCATTTCCCCACAACCCAATATGGGCTGCGATCCATCGGATCTCTAGAGTGTTGTTCGATCCGAGTGCGTTAAGGGTGTCATAACAGTCTCTAGTAGTTCTGCTCCTCGTTGAAAGCGAGGAAATAGCTTGTATGGAGGAGAGACTATCAGACCATATAATGATGTGTGAATTGGTGTAGGATGAGAGATACTTGCAGGCTTCAATGATTGCAGTAAGCTCCGTCTGGTAGACAGTGCAATAATCAGGGAGCTTGAATGATCTCTCTTCCAGGATGGTGTTGTTGTTGTCAGTCGTGATGATGTACCCAGCCCCACTTCCGGAGTCTGATAGAGACCCGTCTGTGTAGCAGGTGATCGTTTCACTGGTAATGTTGTCGATGGTGTGTTGGAGTGCGGTTCTGTATTCAGTGTTGTTAGTTCCAGGAGTGGTGACGGTGAAGTGCCGTCCCAGCATCATGGTTGGTGCTGTGAGGTCTCTTGTGGCTCTAGGTGGTATGTTGAGATCCTCCATGAATTGTTTGTTGATTGTGGTGTGGTTTTTGATAGTTCCCTTCCTGTGGGCGATAGTTTCAAGAGTGAGGCTGCCGTAGGCTTGAAGCCTTGCTGCTCCCTTCGCTGCTTCGCCCCTCAGGAATAGTATGGTGTCTGGGGTGTCAGTAAGGTGATTCAATGCGAGGAAGGGTGTACTTGGCATGGCACCAGACATCATTCTCAGTGCCAATGCCTGCACACGTTTGAGCTTCCTCGCATTGTAGTCCGTGTCAATTGCCCTGATCCATATACTACAGCAGTAGGACAGAATGGGTCGAATGACCGCTGTGAACATCCATATACAAGTTTTAGGGCTCATACCCCATGTGGGGCCGACAGCTCTTCGACATTGCATGAGGGATGCCGTGGCTTTTTTGGTGATGTTGATGATATGTTCATTGTAATTGAGTTTGCTGTCTAATGTCACACCTAGGAATTTAGCCGACTTCGAGAGACCTATAATGTTGTTGCCAACTTTTATTGGTCTCAAAGTCCACTTAGTATTCCAGGTAAACATTACTATCTGAGTCTTGAGTGCGCTGATAGATAGATCCTTGGTTTGGCACCATTTTTCTATCGTATTGATGGTTTTGCATGTGCGGTTCCAGATGATGTCCAGGTCATTTCCTTCTGCTAGTGAAGCCAGGTCATCTGCGAAGGCTTGCAGGTAACCCGGTATGTCCTTCGCAGTAAAGGAGAGGAGATCGTCGACTACCAGGTTCCATAGAAAAGGAGAAAGGATGCCTCCCTGTGGGCAGCCTCTCCTGATCTGTACCCTTCTCGACTTATCCTTATGACTTAGATTGATAAAGCGATTAGTGACCATGTTGATGATCCATTGCGCTGTAGCTAGGTCCACTTTCGTGGCCCTGACTGCATCAGAAATAGCTTTGAACGAGACGTTGTCGAAGGCGCCCTCTATGTCAAGAAAAACTCCTAGGACATATCCCTTCTTAGCTATTCTGCGCTCAATGGTGTGGGTAACTTTATGAAGAGCCGCTTCTGTTGAGCAGCCCTTCCTAAAGCCGAATTGACGTTTGTTTATGTCATTTGCTATGTTGAGGTCGTGTTGCATGTGCCACAGAATCACTTTCTCCTGTAATTTTAGCATCACAGGTGAGAGAGTGATTGTGCGAAAAGACTTAGCCTTGTTGTAGTCGGTTTTGCCGGGTTTGGGGAGGAAGATTCCGATGGAATCCCTCCACAAAGTAGGGATGTGTTGTGTTTTGTGATTATTTGTCATGATGTTTTGTGTTATATCTTTGATATGGTTCCAGGCTTTCTGGAAGATGATCGGTTTCAGGGTGTCCGGTCCTGCAGCCTTTAAAGGATCGAAAGACATGAGGGCCTTCTCGATTCTTTCAGGGCTGTAGATTTTGTCTAGTAAGTCTGAGGAGATGGGTATTGGGCCGAGGGGCGGGACTGGCGGATCAGTAACACTCTCCCTGAAGTGGGTTTGAGTCATGACCTCCAGTGTCTCCTCTGCGTTTTTGGTGAGTTCTCCGTTGGGTTTATAAATGGCTTCTAGTTTGTTGTTGGTGTCAGTACAGGTTTTCAGAATCTTGCTCATCCTTCCAGATTCTTTGACCGATTCTGTGTCTCTGCAAAAGTTCCGCCACGCATTGCGCTGGGAGTTTGACAGGATCTTGTTGTATTGCTTGTTGCTTTCTCGGAGAGCAAGCCACGAAGCGTCAGTTTTCTTTCTGCGGGCTGTAATGAGTTTGCGTCTTATTCCCCTCTGAGCTTCCTCGACTTCTCGAGTTAGCCAGGGAGGTTTGCGGACCGCACTCGAGATGTAAGTTATAGGACATGCCTCCTCGAAGGCTGTCCTGAGAGCAGAGTTTAAGGTGTTGACCTTTAGGTCGATTTCTTGGGGTGTGATAATGCCGTTACTGTGGAGGTCGTTGTTGTTCTGTAGAATCTCGTCAAATTTCGCCCAGTCAGTGTGCTTGACTAGTCGTATTTGACGTGGTTCTTTTTTGGGGCCGGATGTTATATCAAACATAATATATCTGTGGTCTGAGTTAGAGTAAAGATCGCTAACGTGCCAGTTGCTGATCAGCTCCGCCCCCTTTTGGTTAGTTATGGTGAGATCAATAATGGAATTATGACCGCGTGAGTTGAGAAATGTGGGTGTTGACCCTCTGTTGGAACAGGCGAGCCCTAGTGACGAGAGGAAATCTAGGAGATCCTCCCCCCTACTATTGCACATCCTATTACCCCAGAGAGTGTGTTGGGAGTTGGTGTCAGACCCTATGATAAGCGGTATGTTGTTATCAATAGCATACTTGGCTAAAGGTGTTGTCTCGTGGGATGGAGCAGGGCCATTAATATCCATGTACGAAGCTGCCAGAATTACTTCTGTTGAGCTTAGTTGGATCTTAATGGCTACCTGGTCCGGGGTTGTAAATTGCAGCAGTTCCCAGCTTTTGACGGCTAGGTTTTTGTGTATTACTACGGCGGCACGTGGCCTAATGTCCCCGGCCTTATAATAATACTCAGTTAGGTCCTTGCTTATAGTTGGGATATGGTTCTTGTTGTTTGTGTATGGTTCCGTAGCAAGTATAATAGGATTTTTCCTGCCGTGAGTGTTCACTAGCAGGGTTTTCCAGGCGTTGTACTTGCGTTTGAGGTTGATTTGGGTAACAGAGTAATGTTCAAAATGAGTTTTACCTGTTTTGGCTGTAGTTTTTGAGGTGGTCTTCTTGCCCCTTCCACCTCTGCGTGTCTTATGTCGTTGTATGTTATTGTTGTTTGTGGGGGTGGTATCGGTTGGAATAGTATTGGTGGTGGGGGTGGTGGGGTTTGCATTAGTGTTGGTGTTGGAGACGTGGAGTTCAGCATCAGCAGTTTCCCTCACCGGACCAGTACTAGGACCTTTTGGTTCGGGCACTGTGTCTGGGGGCCGGCCTGAGGCGTACAGCAGCGACCAGCGTTTCTAGTAGGAAACTATGTTCCTTGAGGAAGGTCTCTCCCTCAGGTGAGACCTCCACCCAGATCCGCTGCCGCTGCCTGGACCCAACCGACAAACCCCCGCCTTCCTGTTGCTGAACTTCCACAGTCTCCCAGGTATTGGACACGTGCCTCAGAGAGCTGCATGGTAGACCATGCGCTACGTTCCTCAGCATTAGTCCCCGTACTATAGTATGAGGGTCAAGACCAACATCACTAGGTCCCTTCCCCGATAACTGATTTGGCACGTAAAAGGCGTACCGGCTCCAAACGTCCTGGGAGGTGACTGTCCAGCCTGCCTTTTCAAGGCACGCTGTTACCACCTCCGCAGACGCCAGGTCCGCCAGCTCTAATCGCGATCCACCAGGTATCGGTACTAACGACGTAATTACCAGAGGCTGTGGGACGAGGAAAAGTTGGCGGGCGATGAGATCGCTCGCATCACTACCCTCCCCTTCCTTGACAGCAAGAAGGGTGATCACAGGATCACCCTTCCTGTATATCTCTTCGGGGGTGGGAAGCAATTCCTCCTCATCCTCCCCGTCCTCAAACTCTGGCTGCCGGTCTTGTTGTTGTGTCTGTTGTTGTTGTTGTTGTTGTGGTTGTTGTTGTTGTTGGTGTTGTAGTTGGGGGTTGTCCGAGCTGACAGGAGCACCGTTCTTGCTCTTGTTCTTACCCCTGCCCCTGCCGCCCCTGGACTCTCGACTTATCCTTATGACTTAGATTGATAAAGCGATTAGTGACCATGTTGATGATCCATTGCGCTGTAGCTAGGTCCACTTTCGTGGCCCTGACTGCATCAGAAATAGCTTTGAACGAGACGTTGTCGAAGGCGCCCTCTATGTCAAGAAAAACTCCTAGGACATATCCCTTCTTAGCTATTCTGCGCTCAATGGTGTGGGTAACTTTATGAAGAGCCGCTTCTGTTGAGCAGCCCTTCCTAAAGCCGAATTGACGTTTGTTTATGTCATTTGCTATGTTGAGGTCGTGTTGCATGTGCCACAGAATCACTTTCTCCTGTAATTTTAGCATCACAGGTGAGAGAGTGATTGTGCGAAAAGACTTAGCCTTGTTGTAGTCGGTTTTGCCGGGTTTGGGGAGGAAGATTCCGATGGAATCCCTCCACAAAGTAGGGATGTGTTGTGTTTTGTGATTATTTGTCATGATGTTTTGTGTTATATCTTTGATATGGTTCCAGGCTTTCTGGAAGATGATCGGTTTCAGGGTGTCCGGTCCTGCAGCCTTTAAAGGATCGAAAGACATGAGGGCCTTCTCGATTCTTTCAGGGCTGTAGATTTTGTCTAGTAAGTCTGTGGAGATGGGTATTGGGCCGAGGGGCGGGACTGGCGGATCAGTAACACTCTCCCTGAAGTGGGTTTGAGTCATGACCTCCAGTGTCTCCTCTGCGTTTTTGGTGAGTTCTCCGTTGGGTTTATAAATGGCTTCTAGTTTGTTGTTGGTGTCAGTACAGGTTTTCAGAATCTTGCTCATCCTTCCAGATTCTTTGACCGATTCTGTGTCTCTGCAAAAGTTCCGCCACGCATTGCGCTGGGAGTTTGACAGGATCTTGTTGTATTGCTTGTTGCTTTCTCGGAGAGCAAGCCACGAAGCGTCAGTTTTCTTTCTGCGGGCTGTAATGAGTTTGCTTCTTATTCCCCTCTGAGCTTCCTCGACTTCTCGAGTTAGCCAGGGAGGTTTGCGGACCGCACTCGAGATGTAAGTTATAGGACATGCCTCCTCGAAGGCTGTCCTGAGAGCAGAGTTTAAGGTGTTGACCTTTAGGTCGATTTCTTGGGGTGTGATAATGCCGTTACTGTGGAGGTCGTTGTTGTTCTGTAGAATCTCGTCAAATTTCGCCCAGTCAGTGTGCTTGACTAGTCGTATTTGACGTGGTTCTTTTTTGGGGCCGGATGTTATATCAAACATAATATATCTGTGGTCTGAGTTAGAGTAAAGATCGCTAACGTGCCAGTTGCTGATCAGCTCCGCCCCCTTTTGGTTAGTTATGGTGAGATCAATAATGGAATTATGACCGCGTGAGTTGAGAAATGTGGGTGTTGACCCTCTGTTGGAACAGGCGAGCCCTAGTGACGAGAGGAAATCTAGGAGATCCTCCCCCCTACTATTGCACATCCTATTACCCCAGAGAGTGTGTTGGGAGTTGGTGTCAGACCCTATGATAAGCGGTATGTTGTTATCAATAGCATACTTGGCTAAAGGTGTTGTCTCGTGGGATGGAGCAGGGCCATTAATATCCATGTACGAAGCTGCCAGAATTACTTCTGTTGAGCTTAGTTGGATCTTAATGGCTACCTGGTCCGGGGTTGTAAATTGCAGCAGTTCCCAGCTTTTGACGGTTAGGTTTTTGTGTATTACTACGGCGGCACGTGGCCTAATGTCCCCGGCCTTATAATAATACTCAGTTAGGTCCTTGCTTATAGTTGGGATATGGTTCTTGTTGTTTGTGTATGGTTCCGTAGCAAGTATAATAGGATTTTTCCTGCCGTGAGTGTTCACTAGCAGGGTTTTCCAGGCGTTGTACTTGCGTTTGAGGTTGATTTGGGTAACAGAGTAATGTTCAAAATGAGTTTTACCTGTTTTGGCTGTAGTTTTTGAGGTGGTCTTCTTGCCCCTTCCACCTCTGCGTGTCTTATGTCGTTGTATGTTATTGTTGTTTGTGGGGGTGGTATCGGTTGGAATAGTATTGGTGGTGGGGGTGGTGGGGTTTGCATTAGTGTTGGTGTTGGAGACGTGGAGTTCAGCATCAGCAGTTTCCCTCACCGGACCAGTACTAGGACCTTTTGGTTCGGGCACTGTGTCTGGGGGCCGGCCTGAGGCGTACAGCAGCGACCAGCGTTTCTAGTAGGAAACTATGTTCCTTGAGGAAGGTCTCTCCCTCAGGTGAGACCTCCACCCAGATCCGCTGCCGCTGCCTGGACCCAACCGACAAACCCCCGCCTTCCTGTTGCTGAACTTCCACAGTCTCCCAGGTATTGGACACGTGCCTCAGAGAGCTGCATGGTAGACCATGCGCTACGTTCCTCAGCATTAGTCCCCGTACTATAGTATGAGGGTCAAGACCAACATCACTAGGTCCCTTCCCCGATAACTGATTTGGCACGTAAAAGGCGTACCGGCTCCAAACGTCCTGGGAGGTGACTGTCCAGCCTGCCTTTTCAAGGCACGCTGTTACCACCTCCGCAGACGCCAGGTCCGCCAGCTCTAATCGCGATCCACCAGGTATCGGTACTAACGACGTAATTACCAGAGGCTGTGGGACGAGGAAAAGTTGGCGGGCGATGAGATCGCTCGCATCACTACCCTCCCCTTCCTTGACAGCAAGAAGGGTGATCACAGGATCACCCTTCCTGTATATCTCTTCGGGGGTGGGAAGCAATTCCTCCTCATCCTCCCCGTCCTCAAACTCTGGCTGCCGGTCTTGTTGTTGTGTCTGTTGTTGTTGTTGTTGTTGTGGTTGTTGTTGTTGTTGGTGTTGTAGTTGGGGGTTGTCCGAGCTGACAGGAGCACCGTTCTTGCTCTTGTTCTTACCCCTGCCCCTGCCGCCCCTGGACCTCCTGTTGCTGTTCGAACGCGTAACCGTTGGGTTTGGTCCCCCTCTCTCGACAAGCCCATTGGATTTTACTCCGTCGGGGGCAGTCTTGGTCGGGTTTCCGGGCCCAGCCGTGTTAGCGCTCGGTGAGAGAGCGGAGTTGTCCCCAGTTGAAGCTGAGGGCAAGATTATATAATATATTACATATCATAATATTATATGCATTGTTATTTAAACTCACCCATACTTTGACCTCCAACATTCTCAAGAATTTCAGTAGCTCTTTGTATAGCATCATTAGTAAAACAAGAGGGAGCTGTTTTCATAAGATTAGGAGATACAGATAGTGATATGACCTGAAGAGAAGGGTATGAAACAATAACAAATAACCTTCCTATAAAATAACAGTTCCTTCCTTAAGATCTATCGGTATCACAGGATTCATTTCCAGACCTAATCAATATCCTGACTAATATTAAACCTTGTACTGAAAATTATAATACACTTATTGTAATACACTTATATCATACCTCTCTAACGAAAGATATAGGTTTCTGTCCCATGGCATGGGCATCTCCAATGTTAGCTCTAATCACTTGCTCGAATGGCATACTCTTACCCTGAGTTGTTTGTTAATTTGTTAATCTTGCTACTTTTACGTGGGCAACAACTTATTGTGCACTTCCTGAAAACTGAAATTTAAGAAGTTAAATGATGCTACCAGCAAGTACATTATTTTTATATATTATTGTATTATATTTTAAAACAAAATTAATTCGAAAAAATGAGCTATTTCGGCAATCATTTGACTATTGTCTTCAGCTAATCAAAATATTTAACATTAATACTATTCTGCAATACTCTGTAATAGTATGTAATAGTATGTAGTATTATGTAATATTATGCAATATAAACAACATATTCAAGATCATGTACTGCACCAGCTGCTCTGCTTCATTACATTACATTCGAGCGAAGCTGACATTAAAATTAAAATCGTATAAACTCTAACCAGGTGAGTTAACAGAAAAATTGATGGGGGCCGGGGGGTTGACAGGAGGGGGGGGGGATGACAGAGGGGGGATAGAGGGGGGGTGTGACAGAGGGGGGATGACAGGGGGATGATGGGGGGGGGGGGGGGTGACAGAGGGGGTGACAGAGGGAGGGGTTACCTACCGACTTGAGTTCCTTCTCTAGTTGAGCTGCTCTGATGACGATAGGACCCCTTACCGCGTACTGCATCTCCTTCACACACGGGTTCATGTTGCTAAGGTTGAGCATGCTGGCTGCTTTCCTTACTGCTGCCATACACTGGTGTATTCAATACTAGATTATACTGATTAATGTTAGAATTATGGAGGAGCACTATACAACCATAATAAAGAGACATAAATCTTAAATATTTGTAATGAAGAATTTCAGCCTTACGAACTTTCAGCGTTTTTCCGTACAAAGGTGTCACCAAGAACTTCCAAATAATAACTTTAAAACATAATCTGAAGCATGTTTTTAATATAAAAAGAAAACCGCTTTCGAGTTAATATGTTAATATATGGAAAATATATTTCAATTATTGACAACAGAATTCCAATAACATACAATAATATGTAACTTAAAACTTATAAAAATTAATTAAGCAATTTAAAAAATATTGTATTTGATAAATAATTAATGTTGGTGGTGAAATATTTATCATATATTTTTTTCACATAGTGCGATGATATTTTGTAGACATGTGTGATGATGTGATGTCATAAATTTTACATTACTTTTACTTTAGCTCAGCTAATGTATCCAATATATTAAATAGGTAATTTAGGTATGTAATATTTCAATAATAGAGAAAAATCATGCAATACTCTGATATTGGTCTGCAAAATAGCACCAAAGGTTCAAGGATAAGCTATTATTATGATCTTACCAGGACCCTGACCAGTATTTGTCACAAATTCCTATCAATATTAGGCATTTTTGTGTTTCTTTTTATGTGAACCTTTAAATTGTTTTTGTACACTGTATCAAATGTGCAATATTGGCATCTCAGTCGCTCCTTGTTCAAAGTATGAGAACTCTTGATGTGCTCATTAAGAATAAATTTAGCAGCGGCTTGATATAAACAGTGCAAGTGGGGGCATCTAAATGGCTTATCATCGCAATGTTTAAGAAGCACATGATGTCTCAAGCCTTTCATAAATCTACATCTGTAGTCACACAGCCCACATGATAAAGGCAGTTCTCCTGTATGAATCGTTTCATGGGACTTGAAGATATTTTTTGTGTCGGTCTTGTATGAACATGATAGGTCACAACTAAATTTCCAGATCCTATTTGTGGCATGACATTTCACGTGCTCCATCAAGCATTCCTGAAAGTTTGCAGCATAATTGCAATGTGAACATTTGAAGGGACGTGTGTTGGTATGTTTCCGTTGATGATTGATTACCCGGTATCTTTTGTTTGATGCATAGTAACATTCAGTGCATTTGAAAAGGGATTCATCGCTTAGTGTTTGTTTCGATTTCTCACTCTCAAAAATATCGGTATCTAAACCTATACAATGCTCTTTTTCATTCGGGAACAGTTCAGTAGTTCTTATCTCTCTAATAGAGTGAGGAGCAACATCGTTTTTCTTCTTTCTTTGGTAGACTTGTTTACTCTGTTTTGTGATAGACTTATAGTCATCTTCTGAGGACATTACAACTGTATAACAGTGAACCTGAGGAATCTGAAGAAAGTGATGAATGAAGTGTGAAATGAATGATGAACATCATAATAGTACTTTTATCATGACAAATTTAAATAATGCCTTTATTACAGGTATTTGTTACTGCATGAAATATAAGTGATCAGTTTGGCAGGGATGATATGTATATTGAGTGATACAAAAGTTGAAAATGGATTAAACTGAAATGGTACAGTATTGATAAAGAAAACACTTTGCATCATAACAATATAATTAACTTTCTAAATGTTTCAGGCCCAGTGCTTAAAAAACAGTCCATTTTTGCAATAAAGAAATAACATCATTACGTATTATATTGCATGATCAGTTTGTAGGATATGCTACAATATGCTGATCAAAAGTTGGGTATTACTTTCCAAACATTTCAGTGATGAGTTGAAGTGTGAATGAAATAGAGCTGGCCTGACTTCTACATTCAAATGGCCACGAGCTTCACAGGCATAATGGGTCAGATGCTTGTAGACAGTAAATGTTTCGTATTCTCTGGTAGTTTTATATATTTGTCACGTTTTGTTTTTCTTGTTCAAGATTTGTATTATCTGAGTGTAGCCGCTTCACATGATTCCTGAGACTTTTCTTGTATTTGGTGGCAAATTCACAATACTGACACTTAAACGGCTTTTCTTCTGAGTGAACTACATCATGATTCTTTAACTCATAGAACCAAGCAGTTCTAAATCTACATTTTGAGCACTTGAATGGTTTTTCATTGCCATGTACTTCAGACATATGAATCTTAAGCCTTTGATTGTATCGACACTTATAGTCACATAACACACATGAAATTGGCAATTCTCTTGTATGAATCTGTGTGTGCCGTTGCAAGACTTGCATTCGGTTTGTCTTATATGGACATGTGTCACATTTTAGCGTTTTATAGATGTCTGGAAAATGGGTGACCTTCACATGATTAGTTAAATTTATTTTTTTAGTTCCTGAATAAGTGCAGTGAGGGCAATTAAAGTATTTTGTAGTTGTGCAAAAAGAGCATTTCGAGCATTTAAATGGTTTCTCGACCTCATAGTCAAAAACATCAAAAGCAGATGGTTTTTCTTTTAGTAGTTTTTCTATTTCATCTTTGAGGAGGCCATGTTTCCGTAAATGCCTTTGAAAGCTATCTGAACGGTCGATCTTGTATGGACATTGGTCGCATTTGAAGTTTTTCTCTCTTGTTGGAAAATGAACATTATAAGTGTGTTTCCATAACAACCCACCAGTTGTTGTTCTAAAAGAGCACTCTTTGCATTTGTGTGGTTTTTCAGCATCTCTTTCCATCATCTCTTCCATGTTTTTGTGGTTTACCATGTGGACTTTAAGCTCTACTTTTGAATGACATTTAAAACTACAGATATCACATGAACGTGACTGATTATGTTGGCACCTATTGAAATGTTTTCTTATTGCTGATTTTGGACCACAAATTATAAATGAGCAGAGCCTACATTTGTGAAGCTTTTTAAAGGAATGTTCATATTTCATGTGCTTCAATAGTGTAGCTTCATCTTGATAAAAAAGGTTGCACTTTTGACAATAATATGAGGTATCTTGAATGTTTGATTGCATTTGAATATCAAGCAAAGGTTTTCTCATCAATGTGGTGCAATGAGGAGAGGGGTATTCTTGCTCCTCTTCAGAGTTACTCTCCTCGCTTCCAACACTTTCTGATGCTTCAGCTTGGAATTCTTCATCACAGTACATATTATCATCATCAGACCCAGGAGAATAAACGCTTGCTAGTGATTCCACATCACTGCTGGTACCTTCTATTAGTCCTGTTGTACCATCATGATTGTTGACTTTACTTATACTACCAACGGTATCTATGTTGCTGGTCTTAAAAATGACTTTACTTGGTGACAATGTTTCAACAGAATTGTCAACAATCTTTGATTCTTCTTCATTGGTGTTTGCTACTGATGGCACAGAATTGACATTGTTGAGAGACTTATTCTCTGATTCAAATGCCAGATCACTAGTGTGTAGGAAATTTGGACTTATTTCCTCCCCATATAACAAAGAATCAACATTTTTACTTAACGGAAGGTTTCTTTTTTTTCTTTTGTAGACGTTCCTAAACTTTTTAGCTATTACAGGTTGCTTATCAGCAATGCTCTTCATTTCCGGGAGAATGTTACTAGGCTTAGAGTTGAACACCCCATTATCTTCAGAACTCTGAAATGTATTTAACTCTGATACCTGTGACAAGGTTTCCTTATCTTGAAGCTGCATCAAATGCAAGGACTGGCAATCTTGATTTGTTTCAATCTGAACAGCAGAAGGTTCGAAGTAATGCTGTTTTACATGATCTAAAAATTCAGTTTCAGTAAGAAAGCTTTCATCACACTTAGAGCATTGAAATCTGATTGATGTATCACAATTTGACTTTTCTTCATATTCAAACTTTACTTCTTCTTCGGACTTTAATTTAGGTGTGTTGCAGATTGAATGTCCAGCAAAATACGCAGGAGTCGCTACTATTGCCATTGCATTTAAGCAGTCAGTGAAATTATTACTACAGGAAGAATCTTCCGGTGATGATCTAAACGATTTTTCAAGATTCTCTTTGTTCAATTCAAACCACTGACGTTGTTGATGATCAAAAAAGAGATCTTCTGAAGAAAAGTGCTCTGAGCAAATAGAACAAATAACCCCAACCTTCTCAGATCACAAAGACCATCAATTTCTACTGATTCGACTTCAGCTTTGATAAGTTGCAGTGAATTAGATTCCTCAGTCTTCATCTTTGCAACAGTTCGAAAGAAATCACTTCTTTACTCAAACTGATCTTGCTACCACATGATAATATATCTGAAAGGTTTGAAATCAGAAAATTAAACACATGATGATCATAATTTATTGAGTGAACCAAATCAGAAAAGAAATTTATCAAATGTATTTATCAAATAACGGAGTAGTTCGCTGTTTATTAGTCTCATGATTGAAATACTGATAGTTGGATGCCGGATATTATCCAACTATCAGTAACTGTATTTATGTTATTCTAATAAAACAGAAGAGAAATTTTAGGATTTCAGATCTTTACATAAGTATAATTTTCAAATACCTAAGTATAAGATGAAAATGTTGTCTCTATTTGATTCCTCATACATATTACGGTTTAGGTATTATAACATGGCACATTATAGGATTGAATTAATATTGTTATTAAAATGCTCATAGTAGCCATATATTTTAGATTTTCATCATCATCATCCTCCTCATCAGTGGCATAATGTTGCCTGTTGTCGCCCCCCCCCCCCCCCCGCCGAAAAAGCGCCCATTCCCCTTTTGATGCCCCTCTCTAAAATTGAAAAAATTAGGTGATTTTAGAGGATACGCCGGTAAAGTCTCTAAAAAAGGGTGTACGAAACGAAACGAAACGAAACACAATATTTACTACCCCGCTCGTATGCGACAAAGATATTGCATAAAATATACCTAAATAATTTACACAATACGGTGCCCATGTCTGAGCGGCTCTCCACAAAAACTTTCTCTCCTCCTCAGAGCAGAAAGTTTTTAAAAAATCTATAAACTGGGATCTCATAAAAATTTAAGAGCCAATGTACTTTATATGACAATA